CCCCAAAACCCCAAAACCCCAAAACCCCAAATACAAATTTGCTATTGATTTTACACAGTATAATAAATGGAAAGAGAAATGTTATTAAGCAATCTTATGCCAAAAAGAGAGAAAGCATGTCCTCTTGGCTTAATAAAAAGGTCAAGAAAAGGGCTTGAGAATAATTTTTCCAAAAGAAATATTGACCAGAGAACATGATTACATCTGATTAATAAATATGACCTTAAACAGCCTGTTGAGTTTAGAAATTTGTTATTAACCCTAGACATTGCTAATCTAGAGAGCATCAATTTTATAAAAGAGGTTAAAATACTTAAGAATTTCAAGATCAGGAATCTGTCTGGTGTTATTATTAATCATATCCCTAGTAGGAAATCAGATGCAGTTGTAGATTTGCTCGAGAGTCTTTCTCAGCAAAAACTCACTAAGCTGATGTTCGATCATTACAGCTATTGAAAAATTAAATAACTTTAACTCGTATGCTAAAAGTTTTTGAAAAGTTGCTCCAAGAGTCACCGGCATGATATCGATTACAAGGTGTGTAATCAACCAGAGCAACTTCAACTCCTTGATCCTGGCATCAACTAATGTTGAGCAGTTGAAGCTTGCAAGATGTACCATTGACAGTTACGGAATTAAAAAAAGAATTCCAAGAAATTATACATTAAAAATAATCACATTTATTGAATGAGGAAATAAAAAGTTTAGCGATTGGGACTCAAATCAGAAATAAATTTGAAGGAATCCTCCAAACTATTTGTCGGACAGGGGCTAATAGAAAGCTTCAAAAAATAGAGCTCTGCGATAATATTATCTCTGTGTCAAAGATGCATAAAATCTGCAGTAATTATAACCTTCCTAGAGTCAAGTTTGAAATTCTTGATGAAGAGTTACAGACCTATACATCCTTCACCACTCCCGATCTTGTTTAAATATTTCTTAATGGTGTTAATTCAATTTTACCGTAATTTTAGGGGTTTTGGGGTTTTGGGGTTTTGGGGTTTTGGGG